TTAGAGTGATGTATGTAGCATAAGGTATTGTTCCAATGGAGCGTAATCAACAGCCATGTTAGCCAGTAAATCATAGACCAAAGGATGTCTAAAACTGACTAAAGCCAAAGCATTGGTATGACAAAAAGCAACAACTGAGTATATTTTAGTACCTGCAAATGTTTATAATTTGTGCTCATGGGGCTGTATTACCATACATAGATCTTTTGGCTTTGCACATGCATTAATATGAACATATTATTTGTTCTTTCAACTTAGCGGACTAACATCAGTATTAGCTGTTTCTAAAACATTACCAGACATCTTTCTAGACTGCATAGGAAAATATTGTCAGGCTTGTTTTAAATTTAATACCTCTCATAGAAGAAATGTCGCAGTCCCCCTGAACTCCTAGATCAATATGCTATTAAAGTCAGAGCAGCTTATCACAAGCTTCTGAACCTGCCATCTAAAACTATTCCCCTTTTTTTTTTTTTTCTTCCTGAATTTCCAAACTTCCTATAAACTCTTGCATTTATGACTGTGTGTTCTTTGGTCACATCTGGTATATCTTTGAAAGATAGTCATAGTTTTATAGCACTGTAAAAAGGAATAGTAAGCATGATTTACAATTCTAGTCCTGAGAAATCATCTCTCTATAAGGTGAAATTCTGATTAAGTGAAGTCAGCAGGAGTATTCCTATTGACCTGCAAGGGTTCATGACTGCATCTTTTAAATATGTCTTGTGATATTATAGGATTTATCAGCAGGTATAGTGCTTTAGGGGCATTTTTCATTAGCTCCTCACCAACTTGTACAGCCAGCCAGCAGGTAAGCTCTGCTGAAATTCTGTAAGAAACGGATAACGCTCCCAGTTAATTTAGATCCAGAGTAAAGCTGCTGATGCCAACTTCTCTGTTCTGGATTCATTTTGATAGAACCAAAAGTAAACACACCTTTAATTTGGAATTAAATTAATTGTCTTGATCTTACTGAACCTGGCCAAATCATGAAGCTCATATTTGAATAAGGCAAGTAGTCCTAGATCTTCACCACGTGGCAGCGTGCAGAGAGATTCGGGACTCTGCTTTCTTGTTCCTTCCTAGTTAATTCTAAAATAATGGATTTTGAAGCTTTCATGAAGCATCAGCAATGAGAACAGAGGACTTTTTATATAATAATATGCAGTTTGCAGCCTAATTTTTGTCTTTTATTACTGACAAGTAAGCTGAGTGTAGTTAGAGTATAAGGCTGGCACATTCCCAGTGCTGTGTGGAGAGGAGGACTGAGCTGATGCCATTGTGCTTTTTACCTTGTTGGAGTTAGCAAGACATAGTCCTTCATCCTAAATTATCAACTGAACCAGAGACAGTGGCTGAGACATGGTTATTCTGCCTTTCATGAAGTATTGTTAGCTGGGGAGAGGGGCCCACCTGGTAGGAAGCACAGCATTGGTGAGTTTCAGCACCTTTCTTGGAAAAAATACAATTTTTTCATATTGTAAATTCACTAAAATCTCCTGGAAGTATTTATTGATGCAGAAATGCTAAAGTAAGGTGGTCTCCTACGCTTACATAAGATGCAAGAGCCTTGATTATTAGGGTACCACGCAGCTCAATAATATTGAATGTAGTGCTCATGTATTTTCTCAGCATTAAGTATCTGAAATATTTCTAGGTTTTAGATGTTTCTTAGGGTTCTTTGTAAGCCCTTAAGCTGTGGTCTGGTACATAATATCTAATCAAATGCAAAGGAAGAACAAATGAGAGAGGAGAAAAGTTGACTTGTGCATTTGTAATTATTATTCTGGTATTAATGAGGTCAGATCCAAAGCCCATTTAGATCTATGGGATTAGCAATAGCAATTATTTTCAGAAGCAAGGTTTTTACGTTGAAAACATCTCTGTGAGTTAGATATTTTAATGAAATGAAACTTTCTCGTATATAAATATAATTAGGATGATCACAGTGAATACAATAATGAAGTCCAGTATAAGTTATTTAAAAGCATGTTTTTTCTTTTCTTTTTTTTTTTTTTAATATTTTAGTATTAATTGTCCTTGGATTCCCAGAAACATAACTCTGAGTTATATTGCTATCTGTGTGAAGCAGCCAGATTGCACACAGAAAATCACTCATGAGTCCTCATGAGTGAGACACTGATGTTCCAGTCTTGTAGGCTTCATTTTTTGACAGACATACTAGAGCATTGCATGCATGTTGGAATAGGTGCTTCTTGCACCAGTTTTAGGAGTTCTATCTAGAATACTTGCATTTGTAAATACTATTATTGCAAAGTTTAGGGTTTCAGAGTAAGGGAAGTCAAGAACTAAGATTTCCTTTGTGATCTTAATTTTCTTCCTTTATGCGTGTGTTAAGATGTTGCCTCTAATTATTTGGCTAATTATTATTTTTACTTCACAACTTCATCTTTACTCTGAAGGCAGAACGGATGGTACTTGCTTATTAACACCTTATTATTAAATCCTAAATATTTAGTATTTTGTCTTCTTGTTGTTAAAAACATCGGTCTTACTAACAGCAGAGTATTCATACCTTACACCAAAGATGAATAATTTTTCCTCTGCATTTTCATAAACATTTAATGAATTCGTTTCTACAAGACCCAGAGGAAGCAATAGCAGCTTCTCCTTCCCATGTTACAGATGAAACACTGAGACACTAAAAGGTTCAGATCACATGTTTCCAATGAATTGGGTTGCTTGTTTAAAGCACAGAGGAACCTGGTTTTTCAGTGTTCAGACAAAGTGTAGCTCTGGACATAGGTATTTAAAGCATAGGTGGAGCTCCCCTGGCCTGCACTAGCTGGTGTGCTCAGAGCTGCTTCTTTCCACACTGAAGAACAACTAGTAGGGTAGATGCTTGGCATGAAGTGGATTGTGTTTGGAGTCATTAAGCACTTAGTTATAATGTGGGATTTAAATAAGGGCTTGGGTGAAAGCAAGTGCTTTGGCTGTTACTATTTCCTCTCTGTCATGAATGAGGCAACTGAGCAATCCGAGTGTCCAAACTGAACTTCTCCACACCTGGAGGGACAGCAGTTGAGTCTGCCACCCCCTGGGGCTCTGGTACAACCAGCTGTGACACTCAGGTTCTGGGGCAAGCCCAGGGGAGGGCAGTGGGTCAAAGCAAGCCACCAAAGCTGGCCAGGGTGGGCCCCCGTGGTACCCGTGGCAGTCCTGCTTGTTTGCAGGAAGCCAGGTATTGTGTAGTATGGCTTTGCCCAGGGCAGGGTTCACAACACAAAATCACAACCAGGTGGGAAATTTAGCATTCACAGCTCCATGTGTTGGGTGTTAACCACTCCTCAGAAGGAAGAGAGTTGCTCCTGCACAGAAGAGCTACAGAGAATTTTAATCAGACTTTTCATCTGGATCGGGATCTGTGCAAATTCTGACTGATTGAAGGTGACATGCCAAACTTTAATTGCAAGCAGACTTTGGATGTTTTACAGAGGATCCTAAGTGACAAAGCTGGTTGCTTTACAGGCCTAGTAAGTAAAGTGATTTTAGCAGCAGGCGGCAGCTGTCTTAGTGGAAATTAAACTTAGTGATGAATTCTGGGGTTTACTATTTTAGAAAGAACAAAGTCAAATAATCTATGGACCATTAATGAAAAAACAAGTATTGGCAAAATCAGCAGGAGTTAAATACAAAGGGATTTGTTATAGGCGAATAGTAGAGGAAAGTAAAGATTTTCATCTAAGCATTGATCCTTCGAGCTTCTACATCCCTTAATTCTGCAGAAATCCAAGGACTGCAAATGGCAATGCAGCAGGGTAGAGAAGTGCCTGTAGGGCTGGAGTCTTGGTGTAGACCAAGTGCACATCAGAACGTGGCAGACACTTTCACCCCCTTTCTTGATGGTTGCTGTTCCTCGCAAGCACCCATTGAGTCTGCATTGCAGACCAGGAGAAATGGCTGAGAAAATGGAGTCATGGGGTGGTGTGGGAGGCTGCTCCTGACACAGGCCTGCTGCCTGATTGAGTTGGTCGCAGTGTGTGTTTAGCTTCAAGGGGACTGTATTGATTTTCCTATCTTCACTGTATAATTGATGGTGTTTTCAGAGATTTTTCCTTCCCACACCATGAACAGTATGTTTTGAGTAGGTTTTAGGCAGAATAAACATTTTTCTACAACCTGACTTAAGTTTCACTTAAACTAAATTTCATTCTCAGTATATTTATAGTAAAGCTGTGGATTGGTTTCTTTATGTTTAATAAAAATTTGTTGTGCTTGTTTGGGGTTGTTTTTAAGTAATTTTTAAAGTAGATAGAATTGTTTTGGTGCCTGCAAACACTTTGTTTCAGAAACACCCTGTGAAATGGTGTCAGAATTGTAATCGCTGTGACTTAGCAAAGTCCTTTGTAAACTGCTCGGTAGCAGGAAACCACCAACAGCTTGGTGACCCCTGTAGCTGTTTTTTCTGCTCCACTCCAACCTGGGGAATGGGCCCTGTCACTAAGCGTGGGCTGCTGCACCTGGCAAGAGCTTACGGGCCAATGAAGTCACTCAGATCTCAGGGCTGCCTTGCCAATGCATGTTAGAGAGGGGCTGTAGCCGTCTGAGACTCAGTCCCTAACTTCATCTCCCCCAGGAGGTGCCTGAAGTCTCACAGTCTATGACAATAGCATTAAGGCTATATATAAGTATTAGGAAATCTGCAGCATCTTGTGAAGAAAGTTTAAATCAGGATAGGAATATGTGTATTAGTGATGCAGAACGTAATTGACCCTTACATTCTGATTCGAAAACCCATATGTAAAGTTTGTCACTTTGTGTTAGGTCTTCTAGGAATAGAAGAAATATCTTGGGTAGAAAATCTGTCTGTCTTCAGATCTGTCCCTACCTCATGCACTTGATGGTTAGGAGGTCTCAACAGAGGTAGTAGTTGCAAGATCAGGTCAGATCCTGCAGGAGCTGTATGTACTCTGTGATGCTGACCTCAGGATACATTTTCACCAAAAACCATCCTAACCAACTTTTCATTTTTCTCTCAGATTGTGGTTTAAATGTGCACAAGCAGTGTTCCAAGATGGTCCCAAATGACTGCAAGCCAGACCTGAAGCACGTCAAAAAAGTATACAGCTGTGACCTTACAACGCTAGTAAAAGCACACTTCACTAAGAGACCAATGGTAGTAGACATGTGCATTAGGGAAATCGAGTCTCGAGGTAAGGCACAGTTAATGGACTTGCGTTGCTTTGCTGATAATCCGTTTAGATTGATCTGGGTCATCTGGGCTTCTGCTGAACATATGATTGCTCCAGACAGATCTGCCGAAGACGCTTTATGGCTGCCAGTTACCCCGCGCAGCTAATAGTACGCTTTGCATCGTTTCATGGCTCATACCCATTTATAATTTTTACAGATTCTGCTAGAAATTGCTTAATGGACAGTTACTGCTTTATGGGTATATATTTGCACCTATCTTTCCAGTAATATTTTTATTTTAAAAGTTAAGTGAATGTGCTGAAACAAAGGCAGTTAGTATTGATGTATTCCCTCTTGTTAGTTCCCTTAGCCCACACACCGAGTATCCTTTTCTAGAATTATTTGTTTTCATTCTGAAATAATGACGGAACATCAAGTATGCTAATCTCAGTTATTTTTAAATCATTTGTAATTGATGTAATACATTTTTTTCAGCTCTGAAATCACTTGCGTAAACATAATTTAGTGCTAATATAACAGGGCAGTTAATGTAAAGGTCAAGGTGAAGAGGCCAGGATAAGATTTCATTCTGAAAGAAAAGCCTGATAAGGCTTTTAAAACATGTCTGCTTTTTCTGCCTTAAGTGAAGAACCTTGCAAAGGAAGAACTAGGTGGAAGGAAACTGTAAAATTAAGACTAATTTTAATCTCGTTAAAATGTTCATTGCAGGTCTTAATTCTGAAGGACTATACAGAGTCTCAGGATTTAGTGATCTTATTGAAGATGTCAAAATGGCCTTTGACAGAGGTACAGTCTTCCCTGCATGCTGGAATTTTGTGCCCATATACTAAATGTACGCAGTTTTTCTGCACAGCCTGTGTCTTGTGCTCTGCTGCATCAATGTCAGAAGACACTGAAGAAGTCTAGTGGCTGTGCTAGCAGAAGGGGGGGAGCCTCCCATCAGGAAAGCATATCAGCTCCACTTTGGCCTTTATTACCGAGATCTGCTTTGCTCCTTCCATCACTATCTGTGCTTTAGTAATGATGTGCATAGGAAAGGACAAAGCTTGCTGAACTACTGCCCTAGTTTTCAAGTAAAACTATGCTTAAGGGCGTGGGGGAGGGTTAGAAGGCAAGTGGTAAAGTGCCTTAAGAGGGCTGTGCAACTTAAATTCATCTTTCTGGATGAAAGCTCCAAAATAATAAGGTGAAAACCAAGTTTGAATTATTACAGTCTAAAAGAAGGTCAGTGACAACACACTCTTCTCTCTGAGAGAAGACAGTGGGAATATGAAAGGCTTTCCAGCTGCAGTCCCCCTGTCCCAGTAGAAATTAAGGCCAAAATCCATGCTGAAAACTCTCTCCCCTGTTTATCCAGAGGACTGGACCTATTCAGACAACATCTGCCTCCTCTGCAGCATTAGCAGGGCGGGGATGCACTGGAGAAGCCAAGTTCTGGGTCTGTATCCACTGTGGTCAGGAATAGGTAGTGTGCTGCAGCTGAACAGTAAACACATGTTTTTCCTATAAAATGAGGAGGCTGTGGACGAAGTTGGTTTTCTTTCTTCAACTTTTTTTTCACCAGACTCCCCTGCTTTCTCACTCAGTGCTGTCAAATCTGTTGTTCAGCTGCACAATGTGTTCAGAAATAGCTAAACTTCCACACATTAATACAAGACAGATACTGCTAGATCAGGCAGGCAGGTTTGTTTTTTTTTTTAAAAAAAAAAAAAAAAAATAAAAAACTGCATTTTTTTTCTAATAATTTGAAATGAAGAAAGGATAGGTTTCTTTATAAAATGCTTGAGATTTTCATAGTAAAATGGTGAACTTCAAAGCCCAGTAACTCATTTTCCTTGTAAAAGCCAAAATCTGTAGTTGTTTCCTTTTTAGTAATATTTGCTTAAGCAATTTTTTTTTTATTTTTTTTTACATCTGTTTACATTTCCAAAGCTTTAACGTCAGTGCCTTCTCCACACAGATGGGGAAAAAGCTGATATTTCTGTGAATATGTATGAAGATATCAATATTATCACTGGTGCACTTAAACTGTACTTCAGGGATTTGCCAATTCCACTCATCACATATGATGCCTACCCAAAGTTTATAGAGTCTGCAAGTAAGTGCAATGCTTTTTCCTCGTGGTTTTCATTCTCAATCTTTTCTTCTCCTTTTTGTGCAGTACGTGTCTATTCATTTAATAGCTGTCCCATCAGCTCCTAGCCTACATGCCTTATTTAGTAAGGATTGCAAGCTTAAATATGCACTGAACATTACGACCTGACTGTGTGGTGCTACATGATCGTGGTTACATTTTTCCTTGCCTTTGTCACCACGAGAGTTTCCTTTTCATCACACATTATGGGTTACATCGCTTTGTATGTCTTGCATGAATCCCTGGTACCTGACAGTGACATTTAAAGTCTGTTGCTTTTATGTTGCCAGAAAGAACGTGATTTATGAAAATGTTTAGAAATAAGTAATTTGTTTTCTAGAGGTGTCCGTTTTGAGCGTTTTCTTAAATTGATAAGCATTCATCCTAAGGCTACCTTCAAGGCTGGCCTTGCAGACAGTGCGTCTGCAAGCACGTCAATAAGCCCAGCTGGATCATCTCTCCCAAGCATCCCATCTGCCTGAAGCATCTCTGCAGTGTAGCAAGTCACACCAGCCACACCTGGAAAGGTGTGAGGTAGCTGTGGGCAGAAAACAAGGGCCAGATACTGGCCTTACCAGTCCTCTGGAGAAGGCTCCTTCAGAGTAGTATGAACACGGCCAAAGACACTGATGGCAAAGTTCCCAGTACCTTCTGCTGTCCCAGGGTTGCACCTGTAAATTGTTTGTGCAAAACTAGTCCAGTCAGCAAGGATTGCCAGGGTAATTTTGGATTTAGTATGCTGCAGGGAGTCTTTTGGTGGAGTGCAGTTTGCTTTGAGGAATTCTCTTTGACCAAAACCAGTCACGTCCTGATGGTGCTCTGAGCACTCTTTTGGACAGGCAAATCCTCCACTGTGAGGTTTCAGTAGATTCTGCAAACCAGTAATCCAGCAGAGCCGCGGGACCGCCCCATTGTTGTCTTTCCTGCGTGTGGATTCCAGCTGCAGGTGTGGTGGCAGTTGAAAATGTGTGTTTCAGAAACCACGGATCCGGATGAGCAGCTGGAGATTCTCCACGAGGCGCTGAAGATGCTCCCGCCTGCACACTGTGAAACATTACGGTATCTCATGGCACACCTGAAAAGGTAGGAGGGCTAGCTGGGAAGAGCTCTAAGTGCAACTCATTTTTAGCAAAGCCCATGTTAGGACCTCCAGAAGTGTCTGGGCACAGCCCACCAAATCCTGGAGGTGGACTGTTGCAGGAAATGATAGTCTGCACAGCAGCAGATACCCAGATGCTGGGGGTTATTCCACTTAAAGCGCTTGCAAAGCACTGAAAGGAAATAAGTAAAAAAAAAAAAATAGTTTTGAAGGACAGAGGTCATCTGCCTAATAAATTTGCTGTTTTTGAAGTTACACTGAATGTTTATGGTTAAAAAGCTGTTAATATCTCTGGGAATAGTAAGTCACTCCCTGGGCAAGGAACTAATGCAGCTAAATGGCTATAGACTGGTGTCTCTTTCTGCTAAGTCTTGTATACCCTGGTCATCCCTGACACCCTAAAAAAGACGGCTCACACTGGGCTTGAGCTGACACCAATTAAGCACAGGGTTAATTGGCCCTCCAGCCACGTGTCTCTTCCTCATTAGTGCTGAGCCCCTTATTCCATGCTGCCTTCTCAAAATCGCGTTCTGTCTGACGTTTCTCCCACTCCCGAAAACATGATTGAAGTTGATCAGTGGGCTGAAAAATCGTTAGAAAGAGACTGGTGGATGGAGGGATATCCAGTACAACAGCACAGGTTCTATTTCTTTCAGGAAGGCAGAGAAAAAGTCAATGTGGCATGTTAGGGCGTCCATTTTAGTTTCTTGAGTAACATGAACTTACTGTCAATATATAAGAATCATGCCCTTTCCTTAGAAAAATACTTTATTTTAAGCTCTCTCTTGCTTTTTTGATTTTATAGTTCTTTTACAAGTAGGAATACGTTGACGCTACTGAGTGCCTGAGGCAAAATTCAGCTACAGGGTTTCTCTCTGATTTATCCATTTATTTCAATGACATTTCTAATGGATGGTTTAGGACACAGGGATGAAGGATGCAGGGAAAAAAAAAAAAAAAAAACAAACACCTTACTGCTTGTGAAGTGTGAAGTTAATTTTTCCTTATCCTGTTCAAGAGTAGCTGTTGCTGTTCTACTTGGCAAGTAGCTTTTCCACATCATGTTCCTGGTACAGGAGAATGATAAGGTAGAATGGTGACAAAATTCACTTGTTTTTAAACTTCCTTTTAATACATTTGCTACAAAGAGTTGTGGTGCTCGACAGGCTGTTGTCTGCTGGTGACTTCAGGTAAGCAGACACAGCTCCTTTATCTGGAATAACTACAAACTGAAGACACAGCAGCTTAGAAACATCAGTCTGATTTATTCTGAAAGAAAAGTTAAGGCAGAAGGGGAAAAAAAGGAAGAAAAATATTGACTCTTTTTTTTATACAAAGGATTTATTTATGCAATGCAAGATGCCACAGTGGCAAAAAGGGAAATAATTCAGCCAGACTTTCAGTTGCTGTCCCTAGATTCTTAGTTGTTTCTGAGAATCCTTCTGGATTCTTTGAACCATCATGTGTAGTAAAACATTTGCGTAACCTAAATTTATTTCCTTGAGCTAAGCAATTCACCAGGATAAACCAAGGCAGAAGCTCAGGCTTCAAGGCATGTTTGTGTGTACTGTCCCCGTCGCAGTGGACAGCAGCAGTGGGCATGCTTGGTGTCCAGAGACCCCAGGCAGGCTGTCCTCCTCCCACACTCCCCACAGTGCAGGACCCTCTGCCCTCGGTGCCGAGGCAGAGCCGTGCAGGACACAGGCTGAACAAACACCATCCCGGCACCTTTGGGCAGCAGAGACCGCTCTGGCATTTGCTGAGCAGGCACGTTTCTGCAGTAGCCCTGCCAGAGGATGCCTCCTGTAGGTATGATTCTTGGGCAAATTACATTTCTGGAGGTAGCCTATAAACCTAGCCCACAGCTTTGAACAGGTCAGGTTCCTGTGGAGCAGCAGAACACGGTCTCCCTGTCACCTCCTCCTCTGGAAATGGGAACTAGGCAGCAGGGGTTCAGCTGTTGGGCGGCTGCTAAGGGCTCCAGAAGAGGCAAGGGTGGAAGCAGGCCTGCCCAGGCACAGGTTTAATGACCTGTTCAGAAGAGCTATGCAAATGAGGAGACCCTGGTGGTTTCAAAGCTGCCCCAAAGTGATGATTTCACTTTTCTTAGTAAACACCATGGGACATGATTTGTCAAGGAGAACTGTGCATCCAGCTTAGCACAGTTAGTCTGTCGTGACTAAAGGCAGGGAAGAGGAGGAGAGTAACCACATGGAGCCATGACACCAGGGCAACCTGGGCAAAATCCCACGTGGGTGAGCATGTCTCTAGTAACTAGAAAACTGCTAACGTAATAGCAGTGGCCTCCAAATGGTGCTTCTGTAAGGTGCCAAAGCAAAATGGTTCCAGTTTGTCTGAATTCACCACTCAGCCTGCTCCCTCACCACGGACTACTCGTCTCTCGGGCAAGTAAATGTGTTCTGTGTGTGTGGTAGGACAGAGACATCACACACACAGCGTTTGCACTCACTTCGGAGTGTTTCACCCCATGCATCCGTGTGTATCCTGCTGGAAACAGCAACCCCTCCTAGGCTTGGGAAAGGCAAACATTTCTGAAGAGTTACCCTGGTTCTCAAGCATAATTTGGCATGGGAGGAATGTGAAAAACACTATCCTTTTTTTACAGAGTAACGCTCCATGAAAAGGAAAACCTGATGAGTGCAGAGAATCTGGGCATAGTTTTTGGACCAACTCTTATGAGGGCACCAGAACTGGATGCGATGGCTGCCTTGAATGACATCCGTTATCAGAGACTTGTGGTGGAGACACTTATAAAAAATGAAGACATTTTATTTTGAATATTTTGGGGGTTTTGTAATAAAAAGGAAGCAACAGTGTTCTATGGATGAAGGAATATTTTAAAGTAATTTAATGGCTCTTGTCGCTGAATTCTGTATTTGCTAGAGCTTTCGATGTATTCAGGATAAAAATGAAGGAACTCTTTGTTGTTTCTGTAGTGCCATTCAGCTGATGTTGAAAAAGGTTAACACATACTTTCCAGTACTAGTAATCCTGGGTGTTTATCATGTTAAATTTAAAAAAGAAAAAAAAAAGAACAAAAAGCCTAAAGCTATTGCATGATTTGCTCCCTGTTCTCCCTGTTCTGGTGAGACTCATTCCATGGAGAAAACAACTGAACTGGTGCAGCATCTTTGTTCTGGATAGTTTGTGATTGTAATTCAGCATGTTTCTCCGTGTAAACCTGTTGTGAATTTGCTTTTATGTTCTATGTAATTGGTTTCTGATACTAAAAAGAACGCCAGCTTATGTGAAATGGAGCCTCTGGCAGTTTATTGACATTTCATATCATTCTCTGCCACTTTTGGGGCTGATTTCTTCTTGGGTTTCTTTCCATTTTTTCACCATATAGTAATTTGTTTTTAACAGAAACAAAATGTGTACTTCAAATGTTGCTTTAAGTAATTCTCCATGATGTTTATGGTGGTTGCAGTGAAATCTGCAATGCTGAACAGTGTTCCTTTATTATTATTGCTATTACAATTGTAATTTTGTATTTTTATCTGGCATGCATATATTAATTTATTAAATTTCGCTTTTAGAACTCTTAACATTAAGCTATTTATTTTTACTTGACTAACCTGTTTCAAAAATACTGTGTTTAATTTTTTTTTACATTGAAACTTTAACCCCGAACAACCTCTGACTTAAAAGAAGTGATTTGGACGAGACCATTCATACTTTGGAGCTTGACACTTTGCTAAGGTTCCCACAAATTCCTCTTTAGTTTGAAAAATTTGTTCTTCGTGGTCCAAGATGCCATGTTTTGTGACCAAACAATGTCTCGGTGTCACCCACCTGGCTTTTCTTCATTGCTTTGTGCATGGCAAAATACTAACATCAGAGGAGATCAATGGCAAGTAGCGCATTGATTAAATTCAAAACTTTCAAGGAATGCTTTGGAGCCTACTTCTTTTAGATGAACAGTAGAAATGTCTAATTTAATCGAGGAAAGCAGAACCCCATGGCACAGCAGGGTGGAGGAACTGGGTAAATGGGGATAGAAAAGGAGTAAGGATGAAACAGCAGGTCCTGGAAAAACCTGGTGGCCTTCTATGAGAA